AAATCAGTTGAAAAAAAGGGGGGGGAGTGTAGTGGTAGACTGTGGTTCATTATTGAGATAAGAAACATTTACAACATGATAGCTGCAAAGTTTGAAGTTTTGATTAGTAATTTGTTGATTCGACCATAACAGGGACATTGACCCTGCAATAAAATGACGCGTACCATTTCGACAAAAAATTTCTAGTAAACACGTGTCGCGACAAACTTTTTGGTTAAATTGTTTTGTCGATATCTATAACTCTTTCTAGGAAGAAGCGATATAAACTTAATGTAAAAAATCACAACATGACCTTGACCTTTGACCTTGACCTAGTTTTCTATTCTTTAGGACCAAGGACCTCAAATCAACAGACCCTAGGTCTCTATCACTTATGGTTTACCAGTTACAAATGCATATCACTTATTTCAAATGCATTAGGGGAAATAACTCTCATATGGAGTCTTCGTATCGCTTCCGTCAAAATTGGACAAAAAATCCTGAGGATATAGCGAGCCATTTGGTAAAATAAATTTGTCGCTTTCTTTTACGGTTACGGAGGAGATGCAGTCACAAGGAAAACAGTGTTCAGGGAGATAACTCCTACAAAGAAAATTGTTCGGCTTAGAATGGGTGAAAATAAAAAGCGCATAAACTGTATGATACTATATAAGAAATATCTAAGCGACATCTTGCGAAACAAACATTTTACGCGAGAACAAAATTAGGCGGAAGAAAATAATAATAATAATAATAATAATAATCAGAACAAATACAATGGTCTTTCCACAGAAAAGTGGAAAGACCTAATAATCAGAAGAAAACCAATAGGTCTTTCCACGGAAAAGTGGAAAGACCTAAATATCAATGTTTCCACAAAAGCTACTCTGACGCCAATCAACGTAAATTTTGCTCACAAGACTGGATTCATATGCTTCTTGATATTTTCACGAGTTATTTTTTGTTTTCACCTTTCAGGCCAGGTGAGCTAAAAATAAGAAGATGTGGTATGACTGCCAATGAGACAACTTTCCACTAGAGTAGTAGCCAAAATGACGTAGACATAAGTGTAACAGCCACTACGTTCCGTCAGTTACTTTGTTCCGGCGGAACTTTTCAACTAGTTATTTCGTTCCGATGGAACTTTCCAACTAGTTGTTTTATTCCGAGTGCAGTCACAAAGTTCCGGAAAAAGGAACTTATCAACTAGCCACAAAGTTCCTCTTTGGCAAATAAGTCAAAACCGGAACTAACAAACTAGCCCAAAAGTTCCAACGGAACTTATCAACTAGTCACAAAGTTCCATTTGGAGAATTGATGCAAAGAACCACACGAGGAGGGGGTATTAATTCTGCCCTCTCTTGAGGGTACTATGAATACTAAATTTGCATGGTAATGCAACTTATTCCGTTTTATGTGAGCTATGAAATACAACTTAAATTTTGCATATTTGTCCCCAAAGAAACCCCTTTCAGTGCGTTGGGTATTCTTGTAAATTAATGATTTGCTCTTATATATACTGATACTCATTCTTCCCCCTCTTTCTACAAAAAGGACGAAATATGGTATATTCAGTATCTTGGTTTCCCTTTGAAAGGTTCAAATATAATATGTTGCGCTTTTACTTTGCATCAATTCTCCAAATGGAACTTTCTGCCTGGTTGATAAGTTCCGTTGGAACTTTTGGGCTAGTTTGTTAGTTCCGGTTTTGACTAATTTGGCAAAAAGGGACTTTCTAACTAGTTGATATGTTCCGTTGGAACTTTTCAACTAGTCACTTTGTTCCGGTGGAACTTAATAAGTTCCTCCGGAACTTTTCGGCTAGTTAGTTCTTTCCGCCCGGAACGTTCCAACGTCGGAACAAAAGAGCATTTACATAAGCAACTAAAGGTCACTCACTGTACGGCCTTCGACAATGATCAAAATCCAAACCGCGTAGCAAGCTATTAAAGGTCCAACATTACAAAATTTAAAACAATTGAGACGGGAAAACTAACGACCTGATGTATTTAAAAAACAATAAACCAAAAGTAAATATGATTTACAGCAACACACGACAACAACTGAAATACAGGCTCCTGACATGGGACAGTCAAATACAGAATGCGGCCGGGTCATTATTAAAAACATGTTTGCAGTTGCTTAAACATTTTAACTTCCCTAACCATGGACATATGTTGTAAGGACAAAGTATAATAATTATCAGTTGAAAAATGATTGACTTATCAGATCGATCTATAGCGAACAAAAAGGTTTAAAACACCAAGTACCTAATCTAATTCAAAGCCAATAGTAACCAATAAAAAATCATGTAGTAAGACTTAAATAACCATGCAATGCCAAAATATATGTATCGATAAAATGTAGGATTGTAATTGTTTATAGCTGTATAACAATACTTTTTAGTTATGTTATAATGTATTGATAACAAAATCAATGTTTGCGTTTTAAAAAAAATATATGCCCTTTTTGTTCATCTGCAAAGGTTTCAAAAAGTGTAAAATTGCACAAAATAATATAGACTTCCCCGAAGATAATGGTAATTGTGCAATTGTAGTAATTTCTACATTTTTTGCACTACTTTTAGATTACACCAGATGTGACATACTTATCTTTTAATGCAATCTGTCATAGTAAGAGCAAATAATTTTTCAAATTTAATATACGGAAACATTGAATACACGTCAATAAGGGAATTTGGTAAATATTAAAAGACAGATGGCTTTTAAAGTTTCAAGTCGAAGTATTTAATGATCATCTGATTATAAAATGGATTTTTTTTCCTTTTATAAGTTTATTTCGACTTTGAAAATTACTTTTGTGAATGAAATAGAAGTACTCCAAATATTTTGAATTTCATGAAAGCTTATTAACATCATAGTGTGTCTTTCTATGTTGTGATGTAACACTATTGTTTCAGAAAAAGGGTGAAGGTTTGGTACCATTAAAACGTTTAAACCCGCTGCATTTGTTTGCACCTGTCCTAAGTCAGGAATCTGATGTTCAGTAGTTGTCGTTTGTTGATGTGGTTCATAAGTGTTTCTCGTTTCTCGTTTTTTATATAGATTAGACCGTTGGTTTTCCCGTTTGAATGGTTTTACACTAATAATTTTTGGGGCCCTTTATAGCTTACTGTTCGGTGTGAGCCAAGGCTCCGTGTTGAAGACCGTACTTTGACCTATAATGGTTTACTTTTTTTAAATTTTGACTTGGATGGAGAGTTTTCTCATTGGCACTCATACCACATCTTCTTATATCGATCGCATACTATATGTCTTTTAAGAAAATATTTCATATGTCAATATATATATATATATATATATACATGAATAGGAAGAAATTAAACAGTGGGTTTACATCAATGAGATGGCAAAACAAAGAACAAAAAACTCAAAAGACATCTAGAAGTCAACATACTAACGTAATTGTAATTGATAGGGTCAACATTTTAAATTAACTATTTACAAAATTTTGAATTTTTCAAAAAAAAAAAAAGTAAGGACTTTATACCCCATGAATAGATTACCTAAGCTGTATTTAGAAAAAACATTCGGAAATATTTAGAAAAACTATTCGGAAATTTTGGTTCTCAATGCTCTTCAACTTCGTACTTTATTTGGCCTTTTTAATTTTTTTCGATTCGAGCGTCACTGATGAGTGTTTTTTAGAAGAAAGGCGCGTCTAGCATATAAAAGTTTAATCCTGGTATCTTTCATGAGTTTATTTGACAAAAGAAGGGTCACTGTCTTCACAATTTATCAAGCTCTCATTCGTCCCGAATCAAAAACAAATTGGGACAAAATATAAGAAACTTAAAAAAGATCTTCGGAAAATGTCTGTTCTAAGTCAGGAGTATGACAGTTTTTTTTCCAATTCTTCAGTTGGTGTATGAAGTCTAGCGTTTGGTTTTGTCAGTTTTTGTGGACTTCCCCCTTTTTGAATTTACCTTGGAGTTCGTCATTTTTTTAAATTAAATGCTTTTTGTCTTTTAGTACCAAATTTAACAAAAGTCAACCCTTAACGAGGGCCCAGACATGAGATGGTGCCAAAGATTGACAGAATACGAAATATATGAATGGCTGAATTGTCAACACTTCAATAAGTAGGATCCGGTTTGGGAGATTTTAATTTTTTAATGTTTTTCAATTAGTCTAGATATTAAATATATGATAAAGTTCTTTGAATATTCATAGATATTGATATTTAAAGGCATTTGAATTTGGAATAGGAAATCGAACTGTTTAACACCACAATGCCGATCATTCCAGATTTTATAATAATGGCATGTCTTGCTTGAACAACCAACTGGTGTATCTAAACACCAAAATGGAGCATGAAGTTTTCATGATAATGATGCTAGCATCGAACGAAATGAACTTATTTTTAATAGTTTTTACTGGATCAACTGAGGCTCATTTAGTTGTGTTTTGATCTTCTTGATATTTTATCTGTAGCACTTTAAGGCATTACATTTCGCAAAAAAATGTACAACAAATTAACCAGAAATGTCATTAAACTAAACCTAATTGATTGATCATATGCTTGTAAAACACTTATAGTGTGAACAACTTGTAGGTAATTCAATACAAAAATATTATTGATTAATTTGTGATTGTTCAAGTGTTACTGCTCCCTTAAACAAAATAAGATATTGTTGATTAATTCATGATAGTTTAAGTTTTACCTAAGATTCTCAGTATTTCAACAATGTGATACCTAATATTAAAAGAACTAACGCTGTATATGTCTTTGTGACCTTGCCATTCATACAATTAATAAAAGTTACTTGTTCTCGTCTGCATACATTTGACTAAGAAAAAAGTTAAAGACAAAACAAGTATTCAAATTACTTTACCTTTGACTTCGAAAGTATTAATCACTTTTATTAGTCTTATAAATGGTACGGCGCGCGTCTGGTGTATTCAATTTTATCCCTGGTATCTATGATGAGTTTGTTTTCAATGATTAGCTCACGGATAAAACAGTTGTAACAAAAGATATATTGTATAATAATTACTCACATTTCATCGCATGTTTAGCATAATCACTTCCATCAAAAGCGATTACAACTGTTTTTCCTCCTCTTTCCTTGGCTTCAGTAGTTTTTACTGCGTTGTTTTCGGCCATGAGTGACGTCTAAAATGAACGCAGATGCAATTCTAACTAGACAATTGCTATCAAGCAAACCACTAATAAGTCATGTATCATCGACAATTAAGTAAAATAATAAATGTCGATCAGTCAATGTAATTGGAGTCAGCGATCATAGAATTACACCAATACATTACTAAACGGTAAATAATATACTATTAACAATAAATGTTTATCACGTGTTGTTTTAGCAGCTTCCACATTTTTTTTTCAGGACGACTAACAGAATTATAAATACGACATAAAATCTATATAAAAACATTACAATCGAATTTTGGTTTGCAATACATCAAATAATATGTTTGAACTCGTGTTATAGATAACAGGCTATTAAAGAACTTCTTTCTTTTAAATGGCCATGTGAACCACTTGTCGGGGATTTGTTTTAAGCATACAGCTGTACAAGTAAACATTCTGTCTTGATAATAATATAAAACGGTAATTGTTCGTTTGCGCATCACTCGAAATGAATAATAAAAAGCAAGCCGTAATGAAAATCTTGCATTTAGTGTTCTATAATAGCAATCCATCTTGATTCATCTTGACTTATTGAAAATAAAAAATAAGCCGGAAATTTGTTGTCGTAAAAAACAAATGGTCGCAAAAACATCAAAGACCCTTAGCATGATATACAGTCATATTTTAAAAAAATTTCGAAATGGTCAATTCTGAATTGTATAATATGTATTCAATCCATTTGTCTTGGACAATAAAATAATATGCGTGAACTAACCATATAATTTTATGTAAATGTTCCTATGACTGGAGATATTAACACAAATAAACCCATAACTTTGTTTTAAAATGATCATAATTGACGAACTTTTCTTGGGGGTAAACTCCCTTATAGTTGCTGAGGATCAATTCCTATAGTGTTAAGTAAATTAATTCGGACTAAAATAACAACAATCAGCGAAAACGCATACCCTTGATTTCCGAATAACTAGCAAGAACTTGCATTCCTCTAATTTGATATGATCAAACTATGTAGAATAAACTATTGCTTTTTTTTTTAAGGATATTTATAACGCTACCTGCAGACTTTTCTACTACCAATTCGCTGTAAAAAAAAATCGTGATTGTTTTCTAAATATAGAAACGAAATTAATTCTTTGAATCCAACGTTTATAGTGATCGATGTCCCTTTTAGACCGTGAAGAAAGGATTTTTTTCATGAAAATTTGCATATCAGAATTTGTACAACTTTTCCTGTCCTATTGTTATTTTCTTATCCTTGATGTTTATATATAATATATATATATATATATATATATATATATATATATATATATATATATATATATATATATATCTGTTGTAGAGTTGTCACTGGTTTTAGACGTACTTATAAATAGAATTATTTCTGTGACTGTATCTTGCATTAATTTGTAGGATCCTTAACAATAGATATTTTAGCTGATCTGTAACAATTCCATCTTCATGCCTTATATATCATGTACTGTATTACGACGCTAGATCAAAACTGACGAGGAAAGGTAACACGCGGCCACCGAAAGCTTTATTATTGTGAAGCCTAGGTGGTCGAGTGGTCTAGCGCGTCGGATACAGTGCAGGCGATTTGGTGTCACGATATCTCAGTAGCATGAGTTCGAATCCCGGCGAGGGAAGAACAAAAAAATTTGCGAAAGCAAATTTACAGATCTAACATTGTTGGGCTGATGTTTAGACGAGTTGTATACATATATATGTTGTTGATTTTGGGCGATAGGGAAGATTCTTTGTTTTATATTATTTTGTTATTTGAAGAATTCGGTGACGATGATTTATTTCCGATAGTCTCGTGCTAGACTCAAGCTAGCAGCCACTCCGCTAGCAGCCACTCCGCTAGCAGCCAGTTTTCAGATATGTCTATAAACCCAAAAGTTGCATAAGATTCAAACTTACTAAAACGTTTTTATTTTATATAATCACAACAATATCTGTTTTAATCTGAATTTAGCAGTCGAAAACATAATTCAATGAATTTTGAAATTTCATTTCCTGTTCAATATTTTAAAAACAATATTAATAATATGTGCTTTCAACATAGTACTGCACGCTTTAATACTTCAACTGTCAACACTGACAAAATGAAATTATTTAAATATTGCCAAACTTTCTTGTTTCACGGTATCGACCTTTCCATCAGAAAAATTTTGTTCGATATTGTGTGAAATAGCTTTCCATATTCTCGGCATCCTGTAAAATAGTTCCTAAAAAGTAACAGTATTTCTACGCTACACGAAATTCAAAGTTGCGTTCGTACTTTAATACTTTCACGTCAGCCGAATCTGTTTTAGCGAATCATTCTCTTTCTATAACAATGGGTTTCGCTTAGTTTTGATGATACGCAGGGTTTATTTTTAGTAATCAAAGTATGGTGTGCAGGGATATTATTAATTAGCTATATTACCAATTTTAAAAAAAATCCGTGCTATACCCCACCTGGAAATTTTAGTCAAGCATGCCTAAGGGTCCCAACTTTCATTTGCACCTAGTGTGGAAAAAAGTATTGCCGTAGGAAAATTTTTATTAACTTTGAAAGTTAGGGTAGGGTAGGGTGTCGGACCCCAACTTTGGACCAATTTAAAAAAAAATCCGTGCTATACCCCACCTGGAAATTTTAGTCAAGCATGCCTAAGGGTCCCAACTTTCATTTGCACCTAGTGTGGAAAAAAGTATTGCCGTAGGAAAATTTTTATTAACTTTGAAAGTTAGGGTAGGGTAGGGTGTCGGACCCCAACTTTGGACCAATTTTAAAAAAAATCCGTGCTATACCCCACCTGGAAATTTTAGTCAAGCATGCCTAAGGGTCCCAACTTTCATTTGCACCTAGTGTGGAAAAAAGTATTGCCGTAGGAAAATTTTTATTAACTTTGAAAGTTAGGGTAGGGTAGGGTGTCGGACCCCAACTTTGGACCAATTTAAAAAAAAATCCGTGCTATACCCCACCTGGAAATTTTAGTCAAGCATGCCTAAGGGTCCCAACTTTCATTTGCACCTAGTGTGGAAAAAAGTATTGCCGTAGGAAAATTTTTATTAACTTTGAAAGTTAGGGTAGGGTAGGGTGTCGGACCCCAACTTTGGACCAATTTTAAAAAAAATCCGTGCTATACCCCACCTGGAAATTTTAGTCAAGCATGCCTAAGGGTCCCAACTTTCATTTGCACCTAGTGTGGAAAAAAGTATTGCCGTAGGAAAATTTTTATTAACTTTGAAAGTTAGGGTAGGGTAGGGTGTCGGACCCCAACTTTGGACCAATTTAAAAAAAAATCCGTGCTATACCCCACCTGGAAATTTTAGTCAAGCATGCCTAAGGGTCCCAACTTTCATTTGCACCTAGTGTGGAAAAAAGTATTGCCGTAGGAAAATTTTTATTAACTTTGAAAGTTAGGGTAGGGTAGGGTGTCGGACCCCAACTTTGGACCAATTTTAAAAAAAATCCGTGCTATACCCCACCTGGAAATTTTAGTCAAGCATGCCTAAGGGTCCCAACTTTCATTTGCACCTAGTGTGGAAAAAAGTATTGCCGTAGGAAAATTTTTATTAACTTTGAAAGTTAGGGTAGGGTAGGGTGTCGGACCCCAACTTTGGACCAATTTAAAAAAAAATCCGTGCTATACCCCACCTGGAAATTTTAGTCAAGCATGCCTAAGGGTCCCAACTTTCATTTGCACCTAGTGTGGAAAAAAGTATTGCCGTAGGAAAATTTTTATTAACTTTGAAAGTTAGGGTAGGGTAGGGTGTCGGACCCCAACTTTGGACCAATTTTAAAAAAAATCCGTGCTATACCCCACCTGGAAATTTTAGTCAAGCATGCCTAAGGGTCCCAACTTTCATTTGCACCTAGTGTGGAAAAAAGTATTGCCGTAGGAAAATTTTTATTAACTTTGAAAGTTAGGGTAGGGTAGGGTGTCGGACCCCAACTTTGGACCAATTTAAAAAAAAATCCGTGCTATACCCCACCTGGAAATTTTAGTCAAGCATGCCTAAGGGTCCCAACTTTCATTTGCACCTAGTGTGGAAAAAAGTATTGCCGTAGGAAAATTTTTATTAACTTTGAAAGTTAGGGTAGGGTAGGGTGTCGGACCCCAACTTTGGACCAATTTTAAAAAAAATCCGTGCTATACCCCACCTGGAAATTTTAGTCAAGCATGCCTAAGGGTCCCAACTTTCATTTGCACCTAGTGTGGAAAAAAGTATTGCCGTAGGAAAATTTTTATTAACTTTGAAAGTTAGGGTAGGGTAGGGTGTCGGACCCCAACTTTGGACCAATTTAAAAAAAAATCCGTGCTATACCCCACCTGGAAATTTTAGTCAAGCATGCCTAAGGGTCCCAACTTTCATTTGCACCTAGTGTGGAAAAAAGTATTGCCGTAGGAAAATTTTTATTAACTTTGAAAGTTAGGGTAGGGTAGGGTGTCGGACCCCAACTTTGGACCAATTTTAAAAAAAATCCGTGCTATACCCCACCTGGAAATTTTAGTCAAGCATGCCTAAGGGTCCCAACTTTCATTTGCACCTAGTGTGGAAAAAAGTATTGCCGTAGGAAAATTTTTATTAACTTTGAAAGTTAGGGTAGGGTAGGGTGTCGGACCCCAACTTTGGACCAATTTAAAAAAAAATCCGTGCTATACCCCACCTGGAAATTTTAGTCAAGCATGCCTAAGGGTCCCAACTTTCATTTGCACCTAGTGTGGAAAAAAGTATTGCCGTAGGAAAATTTTTATTAACTTTGAAAGTTAGGGTAGGGTAGGGTGTCGGACCCCAACTTTGGACCAATTTTAAAAAAAATCCGTGCTATACCCCACCTGGAAATTTTAGTCAAGCATGCCTAAGGGTCCCAACTTTCATTTGCACCTAGTGTGGAAAAAAGTATTGCCGTAGGAAAATTTTTATTAACTTTGAAAGTTAGGGTAGGGTAGGGTGTCGGACCCCAACTTTGGACCAATTTAAAAAAAAATCCGTGCTATACCCCACCTGGAAATTTTAGTCAAGCATGCCTAAGGGTCCCAACTTTCATTTGCACCTAGTGTGGAAAAAAGTATTGCCGTAGGAAAATTTTTATTAACTTTGAAAGTTAGGGTAGGGTAGGGTGTCGGACCCCAACTTTGGACCAA